CTTGTCACGCCCTGGGAGAGTGGGAGGGAACGGCGAGGATGAGGCAGAAGCGAGAGAGGCAGCCACGACGCAAGAGTGGAGAGATAGCCAAGAGCATGGTGATGGCAGAGTGAGCATGGTGATGGCAGGGATGACTCCTCCTCCATGGGGGGGGGGGCGGGCGGGCGAGGAGAAGGTGGTTGGTAGGGGGAGAGTCGGCGCTGCTGTGCCGTGGGACGGGAAGGCAGCCCAGGTTGGCGAGCCGCCGCGTCGCTCGGGAAGGTGGGCAACTAAGTTTGGACCCCCTTCTGGGGGCCACGACCCCAACATTGGGTTGCGCCCCCCCCCCGAATTACTGTCGAGCCATCGGCCACGCGGGGACGGCGAACTCCCCGGCCGCGGAGCTGCCACGGCGCCTGCGCCAGCGAGCCGTGGGAGCGGATCCAGCAGTCGACCGACGAGGATCGGCTGGGGTGCTCCGTGCGCCCACCAAAACAAGCGTCCCCAAGAAGTCGCCGGAAACGGAGACCCAGACCCCCGACGTCGTGATTTTTTCACGACGCGACCCCCCGAGGTCTGGACCCCTTCCCCGGGACCGGTTTTTCATTCTGAGTCGTTTTTTGACGGTCCCGAGACCCGGCGAGGGCCCCCGGAGGCCGAAAATAGCGAAAAACCTTCCGTCGCGATTTTTTCACAACGCGAGGAGGTCTGGGGAGAGCGCCCCAGGAACTTGCCCGCGATGGCTCAGGGCACCCGTCGCTCTCGGGAGCCCTGGTGTGAAGGGCCGGCTGCGTCGCTGCTCTTCCGTGGGGGGCCCTGGCGCTCGGAGACCTTCACGTCGCCGCTCGCTCTTGGGAGCCATGGTGTGACGAGCTGTTTGCGTCACCGCGCTCTGGGGAGCCTTGGTGTCAAGAGCTTGCTACGTCACCGCTCGCTGATGGGAGCCATGGTGTTCTTAAGCGTCTCTTGGGCCTCGTCGGGGTCTCCTTGGGGCCCTGTTGGAGCCCTTCAGGAGCTCTTTTGGGGCAATTTTGGACAGTCTTGGGGCCCTTTTGGACCGTCTTGTCTTGGAGGCCTTTGACCGTCCTAGGGCTCTCTTGGGGGCTTCTTGGTGCCCTCTTGGGAGCCTCCTTGGGCCCTTTTGGGGCTCTCCTGGGGCTGGGGCCGTATTGGGGCCCTCTTGGGCCGTCTTGGGGCCCTCTTGGACCACTCTGGGGCCGTCTGGGCTCTTGGACCGTTTTCGGGCCCTTTCGGGGGCATCTTGGGCCGTCTTGGGACGATCTTTGGAGCCTCTTGGGCCGTTTTGGATCATTGTTGGTCCGATACGGCAGGAACCCGACAAACCTGCAAAAACCAATGAACAATCAATGTGTTTTGCCCCTGGAGTCCCTCCCGGGGGCCCTCTGGAGGGCCTCTGGAGCCGTCTCGAGGCTTTCTTGGACCGTCTGGAGGCCATGTGAAGCTTTCTTGGGGCCGTCTTGGGGCCCTCTGGGACAATTTTGGGGCCCTCTTGGGCCGTGTTGGGGCCCTCTGGCAGCTTCACTAAAAAAACAAAGAAACAGGCCATGGGAGCCGCCTGGGAGCCCCTTCACTCGACAAAAATACGAGGAAAGTTAGCCATTACCACTCATCCCACACCGCCTCGCTCCTCCCCTGGACCCCTCCCTAGAGGGCTTCGCCCCCCCCCCCCCCCCAGAACGTCATCACTCGTACCTCGCTCTTTCCGTTACCTCCTCGGCACGGAAACGGAAGGCGCGTGTACATGGTGAGGGCGTGAGGTTCATGGCTTAGTGTCTAGGAGCCCTGTTGGTGTCAGGGCTCTGACACGACATACTACAATCTAACAAAAAGCCTTACGAACATCGATGCAGATTGCGTTCCTCTCTCGTCCTCCTCAAAATATTCCCAACGGGTTTCCGCAAAGGCTGTGGGAGCCAATACTTCTGCATCTTCGCCAGGCGTTGTGTCACATCGGCATTTGGTCACATCGGCGTTTCCAGAAAGACAGGTGGCAGCGGCGGCTCGAAGTAGGCGTCTTTCAAGCAGTGGCGAAGCGTCCTAGCTCGCCTCTAGGCCTACCAAAGAATATTATAAGAACCTTTTGTGGTCTGAACGACATGTACTTAGAACATTTCTGGCTAGGACTGTCTTGTGTTAACACATCGGGCTTATGTTCTAAGAACATGCTTCGTTTGTTCGAACATGTTTGGGTTCTAAGGACATGTCGTGGTAGGCCTAGAGGAATGCCTGGACGGTCGGTCCCTGCTCAAGTCTTTGGTCCGCCGCCCAGATCGCCCACGCAGCCTGCGGAATGCTGCTCGGCGTGCCCGACGTTCTGGCTCTTCCTGGCCCTTCCAGAGGGTCAGGGTGGGTTCAACACTCGGTGCGCTGGCCACCCGGAAACGCCAGCTTCCAACGGCGCTTCCTCCCAAGGTAGCTCCAAGACGGCCTCCAGCAAGGCCCTTGTCGCCGCAACGTCCGTCCAAGATGGCCACAGCTTCCTCCAAGTAGGCTCAAGATGCCTCCAAGACGGAACTCAGATGGCCCAAGATGGCCATGAGACGGCACAAGGTCCCCGAGACACCCCCCAAGAATGCGTCACGAGGTTCCTCAGGAAGGCCCCGAGAGGAGACACCATTGGTCGCGCCTACGTTTTCCAATCATTGAAAAATATTGGCTCCTCGGCCTTACGGCGCGTCCGAGTCTGCGCAGAAGGACCCGAGATCAACCCAGTAAGGCCCGAGAGATCCCCGAGACGGCCCGAGCCTGCCCCGAGAGGGCCCCAAGACGGCCCAAGTGGGCAGGTGGGCCCGCGGACGCCGCCGGAAGGCCCCAGGGAGGCCCCCCGCGACGATCTGGAGAGGCCGACGGCGCCGGACGGCCCAGGAGTGCCCCCAGGACGGCCCAGAGGGGCTCCACGGCGGCCCCCCGCGCAGCCAGAGAGGCACGAAGAGACCTCCGCGGCCCGAGAGGGGTCCTTCCCTGGCGTTCCCCAGCGGCTGCTGCCCCCGCCGCTGGGGGGGGGGGGGGGCACGCGGTCCACTGGCGCGGCCGCGCGTTCGCTCGACGTGCCACGGCATCCCCTGCGCTGTACGCTCAGGTATGCTCCAGAGAAATGTCCTTCTCGGCACTCGCGCCCAATGAGGCTCAGAGTGGACGGCCTGCAGCGTCAGACCGCGGCCCTCGACACCCCCACCAGCCCCCGACTGACACCAACAGAAGCTGTTGCGGGAGGCTCCCTCCACAGACCGCTGCCAAGACCGACGCTTGGGAAGAATGCCTGATCTCAGAGCACATCTCACAGACCCATGGGCCAACGGAGCTCCACGGCTAGCACTTTTGGGAGGGCTTACGACCCAAAAGGGCACCTTCACGCGCTTGCGGACGACCCATTTGCGCGACGAACAGGAACGCCCGATGCCATAGCGACCTCACGCCGCGGCTCGCGCGGGCCGCCGGCGAGGCACACCACGTGGAGAGGAGGGCGCTCGCACGCGAACTTACGCGTCTATCTTCAACGCGAACGTCCGCGCAGCGGGACACGTTTTCTTCCGTCGCTCAGCTGACGTTCTGAGGCTCGCGGGCAATCTAAGTTTATGTCGGGCGTGTCCCCCTTACAGAAGGATTTTCGACGAAAAATAACAAATACCCCAAACATACCCCCAAGAAGGTCAAACAATACTAAAAACATAATAGTCCCCAGACTATGTTTGGACTATCTTTCTTTAAGCATGTTTGGGGGTAGTTTTTTATGTTGCGTCGAAAATCCCCCGGTATGGGGGACAGGCCCGACTTAACTCTAAGTCCAGATATTGCCGCCCGACCTCCCACCCTCCCGCCTCGGGGCCAGCGCGCCCGCCAGCCTTCGGGCCCATCCGCTCGTCCGCAGCAAGCTCCGCCCGCACTAGTAGTGCTGCTGCTGCTACTGCTAGTAGTACCACTAGTACTACTACTACTACTACTACTACTACCACTACTACTACTACTACTACTACGACGACAACTACTACTACTACTACTACTCCTACTACTACTACTACTACTACTTCTACTACTACTACTACTACTACTACTACTGCTACTACTACTACTACTACGACTACTACTACTACTACTACTACGACGACTACTACTACTACTACTACTACTACTACTATTACTACTACGACTACGACTACTACTACGCGACTACGACTACTACTACGGTTTAACCACCACTACGACAACAACGACCACGACCACGATAAACGACAATGACCACCGCAACGCTCGCGCCAACGCCCACGACCACGACCACGATCACGATCATCACTACCACTACTACTTCCACTGACACTACCGCTACCACTACGACTGCACAACACCCACTGCTACTGCAACTGCACCTAAGGCCGGGCCTGCGACTACGACTACGACTACAAATAGCACCGCTAGCCCTGAATCGACGACTACAAATACGAGTGCTACAATTGATACTATGACTACGACCACGACTACGACGGCCACTACCACTACTACAACAAGAACTACCACTACTACTTCTACTACTACAACGTCGACGACGACTACTACTACTACTACACCTACATTTGCCACTACTCCTACTAGTAGTACTGGTACTAGTACTAGTACTAGTACTAGTACTAGTACTAGTACTACTACTACTACTACTACTACTACTACTGCTACGACTACTACTAATATCACGACTACGACTACGACTACTACTACCGCTACTACTACAGCTACATCTGCCACTACTACTACTACTACTACTACTACTACTACTACGACAACTACTACTACAACTACGACTACGACGACTACTACTACGACCGACAGACCGACCGAGCGAGCGAGCGAGCGAGCGACCGACCTACTTCTACTACTACGACTAGCAGGACTCTTACTGCTACTACTACGGCCACTGCTAGTACGATGATTACGACTACCACCACCACTACTCTTACTACTGCTACTTCTACTACGACTTCTACTTCTAGTGCGAAAGCAACTGCTAC